ACTATACTAACAGGTAGATCACGATTTTAGGAACTCAACAAAACTGGTTTGGCATTTTTACGATTTTTCTATGATTCACTACGAACTTTACCGGTTTATTTCCGAGACTAAATTAACACATATTTTTAGAAAATTAAAAAGGGCAACGGCCACCAACCCGGCCCACAGTGCGCGGCAAAAGCACGGCGGCCCAGGCAGAGGCGCGCGGCCTGCGGCCCAGCAATCCCCTTAAGCGGGCGCGCGGCTGACGTCCTCATTCTCCTCCTCGTTCACTCCGTCGGATAAAAGCAAACAACAGGCCAAGCAAACAAACATAATTAAATAATCACATAAATTCAAATGAGCTCAAAAACCATGAAATTTATCTGAAAGATAGATATTGATTTTAGATAAATTTAGGAAGAAGAATCACTAGAGTCGGAGTACGGATGGAGGAGATATTAATTTGCAAAGTGGGCTGCGAGATTAAATAAACAAGTCATTTAGGAGAGAGACGCAAACACGTGCTTTGCTCCTGGGGGGATCATGATTGGCTCTTGGAGAAGGAAATAACTAGGAGAGAGAATGAGGCAACCACGCAGGGACAAAACACAGGACGTCGTGTTCCATGCGTCCCGCCCGCCATGGATGGCTACTGAAACTCGAGAGCAGCTCGGTACAGACCAAGAGAGGAAGGGCGCTGCTTGGGGAGACAGAGGAGGTCTTGGGAGGCTCACCGCTGAACCAATCGAGTGCAGCTACACACGAGAGATCGACGAAGCGAGCTGGGCTCACCAAGGTAACCGGGCGAGGATATGGGGCTGGCTCGTGCTTGCGGAGCGCAGGAGGAAGTTGAATAGTAGCGAGCTCAAGCGTGGGGTAGCCGAGAGACGGGGTGGACTGGAGCTGGGGGGCCTCTTCCCGGTCGATGAGAAAAAGGAGAAGGAGAAAGCAACAGCGTGAAGACAGTTCCGACACCACGACTTAGACTTCGCCCGGTAAAACACGAGAATCTGATACCGACTTGATCTGCTGCATGCATGTAAGCTTGTACACATAATACTGCTATCAGTATTTAAGCTTGCTTCACGTAACTTGTAAGTTTTGCGGTGCTTCTCGCTTCGAGAATGTGCCAGGTGACAGGTAGCCGGAGACAAGAAGCAGCTTCGGAGATGACCGGCCGGCTTGTCCGATAGAGAAAACAGTGGGGGCAAGGACAAGCAAGGTAAGACCGAGACAACGAAACGTGAGTGACCGGACAACATCATTTAAGGCGATCATCGAGAGAAAGGACGCGACGAAGAGGGAGCAGCGATGTACACGACAACGGAACTCGACGATTCGGTAGCAGCGCGCTAATAAACCGGTAGTTGATTGATTTCAAACAAGGGGGACGCACTACTGACGACAAGCGACAGAGTAGGGTAGGGAGACGTCCCATCATCGCTGTGGAGCCGTTAAGCTCATAAGTCAAAACTAAACCAAGGCTTTTCAACCGAAAGCGTGCTTTTCAAAATAAACACATGAGCATATATATACATATATATATCGTTCTATTTATTAATGGATTTTATTTTATTTATAAAAGTTGCTTTTTATGCTTACTATAATAGAGCAAACCGTTAAGCTATCGATTGGCATGAAATTTTCGTTCGACATTTATGAGTATCTTTACGCCCGAGTAATTTAACTTGGGCGTTGATTCGAGTCAACAACACTAAGTCACACACGATTTGCTTATTGCCTCAAGTACGTTTAGATTAAAAATTCGATAAAACTCGATTCGGAAATTTTTTCTTAGACCTAAATCGTGGTGCTAAACAAGTTCGTAACACCAGGGGTGTTACATATCTATACTAACTACCAATTCTATTGTTGATTATTACGCGCATGATCGATGTGCAACTATATCTGTGCTATATAGGAATTTTTTTATTTCTAACATTTTTTTAAACTATTTTCAAATCTGACACTGCTTAATTTTTATTTACAAATCTAACACTTTTGGCAGCGCCTATTGCTATGGCGCGGCCAAACAACGTTGACGCGCCATGCATGGCGGCGCGGCAAAGCTGTTGACGTGGTAGTAATCGGGCCGCTGACCGAGGACGTGGTAGGCGCTACCACGCCACGCCGCAAGGCGCGGCAGGGCCCAGTACAGGCCCGCGACGCGGCTTTCTCTTCCCTCTCTCTCTCTCTCCATTCTATCCCTTTCGAGGTCCCGCCACCATGACGACGCCTTGCATCACGCCCGCCGCGCGCCGCCGCCCACCCTGGCTCCTCCACCGCCGGTAGCGCCTCCCTACCTCCCTCTCTCCCCATTCTCCTGCTGATAGGCTGGGGTCAGCCCCTTGGTGGCCGGCCGTTCGGCCACCGCCGCCGCCCGTGAGGACGCCGGCGGCCCTCTCCGTCGTCGGGGCTAACCCCCCGCGCCGCCTCCCTTGGTGGCCGGCCGTTCGGCCACCGCCGCCGCCCGTGAGGACGCCGGCGGCCCTCTCCGTCGTCGGGGCTAACCCCCAGGAGCTCTCTCCGTTGTTGCTAAGGCATTCCCCCCTCCAAGACCCTCATTTTGGTGATTAATTTTTGAATCAATTGATTAGTGTTAGCGATTTGGTATAGCTAAGTAGTTAGGATTTATGGTATGGTTAGGTAGTTCGGATTTAGGATTTCGTTAGTTAGGATTTTGGGTTTAGGGTTTGGTTAGTAATTTAGGGTTTAGGTTTTTGTTAGTTAGGATTAGGGGTTTAGGGTTTAGGGTTTAGGTTATTGTTAGTTAGGACTTTGGGTTTAGGGATTGGTTAAGTAGTTAGGGTTGTTTGGCCGCGCCATGGCAATAGACGCGGCCAAAAGTGTTATATTTGAAAATAAAAATTAAACAGCGTCGGATTTGAAAATAGTTTAAAAAAGTGTTAGAAATAAAAAAAATCATATATAGCCCGATTGACGTACAACCTCCGGTTTTGATCATGCATGAAAACAAGTTAAAGCATTTGCTGTTCAGTCATAAAACGACTTAGGGCTCGTTCGGTTCTCCAGGAACCTTGCCATGGAAAGATTCCAATTGATTGTTAGCTAATTTTGTGTAAGTTTGATGAAGCTCGATTGATTCCTAGTCTATTCCAGAGTAACCGAAGAAGCCCTTAAGCATTTGTTGTATTAGGAAGCGACGTCTTTTCCCGACCTAGGATCCGAGTGCCATTGTGTACACATTGCATTTGTAAATTGCTTGTGGGAAACAAAAAAAATAACACATGTCATCTGTTCTTATTCGTGTCCTTGTCCCTGAAAAATAATCATGAATCGCCCAATGGACGTACAAACTTACAGGCTAAAATCGTGGTACAAAGAAAAGAAAAGAAAAGAATAATGCGGCTAAATAAAATAAAACAAATAAAAAATGAATGAAAAGCAGCAATGGCCATGCAGTGATCGATGTGTCACGGCACGCTGGGCCCACCCTCCCATATCCTCCTGAGTCCTGACAGCGGCGCTCCACCTACCAAATATCCTTCAAATCATCATCGTCTCCGCCGCTCCCTTCCAACGCACTCCACACTTTCCACGCAAAAAAGCCACACTCCTCTTAGCTGGCCATGTCGCCCGATCCAGACTGTCCGTCCATCCGTCAGCACGAATCTCGAAGAAGACCACCACCAGCACTCCAGCAGCAAGCACTGCTAGTCTGCCACCGACTGACCGACTGACTGATGTCTAGTTGGGCTTCCGGCAGTTGGCGCGGATCTCGCCGCTGGAGCCGGTGAGCGGGCTGATATTGCCCATCTTAACAACGGCCGTGACGAAGTCCCTCGAGAACGCGGCGCCGTTGCGCGCGTACCCCGCCGTGATGGAGTCGACGCCGCCGCCGGCGCCGAAGAGCTCCTGGTCGGAGTGGAGCAGACCGAACTGGGACACGAGGTTGCGGAAGTATCCGTTGTCGAACTTGACGGAGCTCATGGCGTCCATGGGCGCCAGGTTGCCGTCGGTGCCGCCCGCCTGCGGCCCGCAGATCTGCTTCCGCTTCGCCGCGAACCCGGCGTTGATGTTGGTGTCGTTGTAGATGCGGGAACGGAAGCTCGCGCACCGCGCGGCCCCGATCGTGTGCGCGCCCGACAGCGCCACCAGGTCCCGCGAGTCCAGCCCGTTGGACGCGAACGCCGACACCAGCGTCGCCGCGCTCGAGGACGGCGAGGGAAGGTTGCTGTTCGCCGCCGACTGGCTCGCCGTGCGCGTGTCGCGGCGGCCTAGCTGCACCGTCCACGTCGGCCCGCTCAGCTGCAGTGCATTGTTTGTCATGCATGTCAGCGAAATGCACGAGAACAGCTACCGACGTTCAGTAGCCACATGTGCGACTGAGCGTTTGACGACAAAATAAACGGGGGAAGAAATCGATCAGATGAGGAAGCATCCGTCGTGCTAGCCCCGGCCCCGGGCTAAGCGGTTGGTGAAGGCTGGCCCGCACGGTGCTCAGCTTGTTGTTTGACGGGACCGATCGAGCCGAGTTGCATGCATGCATGGCTATCGATCAAGAATCCAAGATGCTTTCTTTTTACTGACTGATGATGGACATGCATGCATGGTGGCAGCAAGCAGTACGGTACGGGGTGTCGGCAGGTGGTGTAGTGCCAGCAGTGGCAACAAGCAGCTGCACAGGTTGGTTGGTTCACTGACCAGGTTGACTCCGTCGCGCGCGGCGAGGGCGAGGATGTCGGCGCAGGAGACGGTGCCGGGGCAGGCGGCCTCCACCTGGGACTTGATGGCGTCGATGACCTCGAAGCCGCGCAGGGAGTTGGCGTTGGGCGCCGCGTTCTTCTCCCCGTCAGCGTCGCCGAGTCGTCGAGGAGCACGGACGCGTCGCACCCTGTGCACGAGCCGGGCATGCCGGCAGCACGAGACCAACAGCATTCATCGGTCAGATGTGGAAATGCAGCAACTAATTAACCGTGCGAATTGAGTTTGAGTACTAGCTACTCCAATGGAGTTGGACGGCGACGTATACTGCTGATAGCTAGTACACTAGATACCTGGACGAAGCAGTCGTGGAAGAAGAGGCGGAGGATGGAGGCCCCCATCCGCGGCTCCTGCTGCACGGCGGCGGCCATCCCGGAGCGCACGATGGCCTGCAGGTTGGGGCAGCTCGCGTCGTAGAACGTCGGCGACAGCTGCGCCATGGCGCCAAGCGCCAGCACGCACGCCACGGCCACCGTCGCCGCCGCAGTTCGCGTCAACAACAAGGCCGCCGGCGCCATGGAAGCTGTGCTCGCTGTCGTCCCCTAGCTAGCTAGTTGCTCGACTTTGGGATTGGGAAGAATGGGAGTGGTAGTAGTAGCTGCTGTCTGTCGATGGAGTCCGTCCCAGCACTGCTGCACCCCTGAGCTCTATATAGTGTAGGATTGCGGTGGTTACATGCGTGGGCCGACACGCAGCAGGGCGGCAGATCGAGTTCCCAGTCCGTGAGCGCGCATGGCAGTGGCACCATCAAATTGCATTGCATTGCTCAGTTATTAAACACTTCAACTGCAGGACCGACCTCACCGATTAACTACTTATTTATTTATACATGTCTCTATCTATCTTGCCTTTAGATCGTACTAAGACTGCGGCTGGATGGTGGATGCCTACGTCTGGTGAGATGCATTTCATCATGCATGGTGCTCCTATCCTACGTGGTAGTTGTTAGTAGGTGAGAGTGAGGGCCCAGCTCCAGCTGGTGGGGACCACCTAGTAGTAGCGTAGCTGAAGTGGGCCGGCATCGTGTGCGCGACTGTCGTCAACCTTTTGGGACCCGGGTATACGTCCCCGTCGGCCTATCGATGGCATACAAGCCACGTACGTAGGCGTATCTTGGCATGTATGCGCGCATATGATGCGCCCCTGTCAGCTCTTGTGCTGCCACCTGTGTTTCTGTACGTCAAGACGTGGGTTGCAATGCAAGGGTGTGTGTACGGTGCCTAGGAGGAGTACTCCCCGGAGGTCGTAGAGCAACCCAAATTACAGGAGACACTTCCAATTATGTCATCAAATATCTATAAGTATCTTTTATGTGGCATTTAAGGTTCAGTGTGCTCCGTTCAACACTACCACCTTATTTCTTTTTTTTCAGAAAATGGTGAAAGTTCGTTCGATGACTCATATATCCATGATGACGCTAGCAGCTAATTAATTTAAAATTATAAAGTATCCATGGCAATCATTTATGTGAGTTGTTACTTTATTATATAAAATTATACATCTTGCCTGAGGCATCTATGACATCTACACTGATAGTATAATGCTAAGCACTCTTTTTTTTTTAATAAACAACCAGGGAGAGTGATGTTCTTGCCTTTGCTTGTGATTTTACTATTGTTTTTTTTCAACTTTGTGATTTTACTCTAGTTTTCTGTGAAGCCATCATTTGCCCCTGTTCTAGACTCTGCTAGCTCAAGGTCCAATAAATAAATAAATTAGAGACAACTAAAAATAAAAAATGAAACATCCCTAACCTTATATCCTAACCCTCCGAGCTTCAGCCGATGGTTCATTAAGCATAGGCAACATGTTAAACTTTGTTTCCATTTAGAATGTTTGCAAGTATCGCTGTAAAAATTATTTTAAAATGCTATCCAAACATTTAATGTCAAAATAGAAGTTAAAATCATAGAGTACTAAAAAACCTAGGAGCAAATTCACATGAAAACTAGTCTTTTTTAGTTGAACTAACTATGTTAACTCCTCTAAAGGGAACAAGGGCAAACTCTGCCTTCGTTACAAAAAATAGGAGCAAAATCTAAACTTACGCTTACACTACAGAACTGAATTACATTGAATGCCAAAAATCATCAAGGAAAATTTGCCAAGGAAATAATCCGTAGCTATAAACAATCAAGCAAATTCTGTTAAGGATAGAGGATAAAGGGAAGTTATTTTTCTTAGCGGTTTTGGCTCAGTGAAAGCCCTTTTCATGTTCTCCTGGAAATCGAACTTGTGACTTGAGGCTCCACATGAAGCACACTTACTACTACATCTCAACGTAATTTATGATTGAATCATTCTTTTCTTTTTGTATTCACTTTGTTGAATCCTGTATGAAAATATGAGATTCTAAGCGATTTCAAATGTAAAAAGTTTGAACTAAAAAGGTTTAGTTCTCGTTGAATGCTATAACTTTGGTTTAGGTCGTATCTCCATCAGATGTCATTTGCAGAATTCAAAAAAAAAATCAAAGCTATAAGAACTTCCTTGGTAGTTTCAAAGTACAACCAAGAAAATATGAATTACCTTGGCGGTTTCGAATAGCACTCGAATAAATATGAATTACCTTGGTGGTTTTAAATAGCACCCAAGGAAACGAGCAATTACCTTGGCGGTTTGTAATACCACTCAAGGAACATGAAATTACCTCGGTGGCTTGGACTAGAACTCAATGAAATGAGCAGTTACCTTGGCAGTTTAGTTTAGCACTCAAGAATATGTATATTCTTGGAGGTCTACGTCCCTAGCCAAGGAAACTACACTTTCCTTGGCAGTTTTATTTTGGCACTCGAAAAAAATATTGGCCCTCAAGGTGATTAAGGATTTCTGGTAGTGTTAAATAAATAAGAGTAAAATCACAATTAGACTTCAAAACATGGGTATAAACAAGAGTCAATAAAAAACTACATCACATATAATTATTTTGATATAGAGAAAAGTCAACATCTTGGCTTTTTGACATTTCTTTGGAGTAAACATTGATGGTTAGGCTTAATATTAATTACTTTTTTAGGTTAGTACTATTTTGAAGGCATGAGGTTAGCACTATTGGTCTCTCCTAGATTTCATTTTAAGCTCCCTCGCGATCTTAAGTGGCATGATGCTTGTTTAAATAGGCATTTATATATGCCATCATTTTCATTCAGTGTATTCTATGACCTAAAATTGTTATTTTAAATAAATAAATACAAAATAGAGCCTCACAAATGTTATAATAAGAAGGCGAGTTAATTTCAACTTGACATGCCCATTACAAAATTAGACCAACTACTTCAATTAAAATTTGATTGTCAAAATCAAGATTCTAATGCCACGGGACATGAGTACCATACATTAAGCTAAGATTTCAACTAAATATATGTATATTGGGGAAGTGTCATGCACACAAAAGGAAAAACATATAGAGTAGACATATAGAGTAGCCGATAAGCTCATCTCAGCAGATAGATATTATAAAGTATTTATATGGACATTGTAAGAAAATAAATAAATTAAAGAGAAAGAGCAGGCAAGGATAAGTAATTTAATTTAGTGCTGTAGTTATTAAATGTGAACTTGTAATACTTATGTCTCTCAATATTCTAGCCCATACAACTTTTTCCTCCTCCAAGTTTTTTTTTTGTCAAAATTTATATGACCCACCTTCTTCTTTCATACTCAGTAGTCTATTAACCAATGCTTCTGCACAGGCTCAAATCTTATGAGACATAAGTATTAGAAGTTGTGGATAAATCAAATACCTATAGAAGAATCATTAAACAATTCATGAGATTTATTGTCCATGTTCTCACTTTAACTAGGAGTTTGTTTTGCTTGTGGTTCACGTTGTCATTCAGCAAACAGAAAAGAAAAAAAGATGAGACACATGATCCTGTTTTATTTACTCTGCCTAGCTAATTTGTTCCCCCAAATCATTGTAGCGCGCGCTACAAATGGATAAAGTTCACGTGCAAGTCGATCAGTAACGAAATATTCTCAACCAACCATTGTCGGGGCATAGCACAGACGAGAAAACATAATATACATCCATGAAGAACCAATATTTTTTTCCCGCGCAAAAAGAATCAATAATTAATCTTCACCTGCTCATCAAGATTCAATTATGCCACATTGTCGAGTAGTATCATCAACATGTAAATCAAAGGAGCAACACAGCTTTAATCATTCCAATTCAGCAAAAGTCCGCGACATCGAGTTGGCCGTTGCTGGTAACTAGTACTACAACGCAGAACAACCTAAAAATCACAATCATTCAAATAGTCAATCATTTCTGCGTACGACGTACGATCGAGTTTGCATTGGCATGCTTAACTGGAATCGATGCGCTGCATCTACGAATCAGATAAACAAGATATATTCTTGATGCTTGTTGTGGCCCTCTTGAGTGATACGGTCCCCTTACAGGAGTGATAAATAACTTTGCTTGTTCAGCCCTAAAATACTTGATGCTTTACAATTTTGGACGCGACTAGGAGAAGAGGGCTTTCCCAATAACGTTCGGTCCAGTGCCCCTCATCTGCTTATCTCCTAGAAAAAAAAAAACAAGAGAGTCTTCTTTCTCCCACCTCTGCCCCCACCCCGCTGCGCTACACCCGGCTAGCAGCACACTACCAGAACGGTGCAGTTCCCCTAGCTAGTGCAGTAAACAGTAATAAGAACACTACCAACAGTGCACACATAGAAACCTCCGTCCGGAGCCATTGTTCGGGGAAGTGCTCATATTAAATACTAAAAGTTGGGTGCTCCCACTTCACTGGGAGAAGTTGCAGATTCTAGTTGTGGCACCCTGTCACTAGCCGCACCATCTAGTGCCCATCGATGTTGCTCCACCCCAACCATCCACTAATCCTATTCTGAGGTTCTTGCCAATCATCCAGTCAACGGCGGCCTCGCCCACCACCCTTGGCTATCGGTCCACCCCCGCCCTCCGCTAATAATCTGAATCAAAGAAGGAATCAAAGAGCCTTGTACCCGCCGATGGCTCCGCCCATCCAATTGTCCCCCGCTGTCGCTCAACACCCCTTCAACAGCTACCACCACTGGTTCGACTGCCTCTCCTAGACCCTCCTCCCCTTCTAAGGCCGCAACCATTGGACACCTCCCCAAACCCTGAAACTCTAACCCCCAAACCCTAACTGGAGCTCACCGATGATGGTACAATTCATCAGAGTTGGTGGAGGTGGTCGGAGAAGAGTTGCAAGACAGTGGAGAAGAAGATCACCAGAGTTAGATATGCATTTGATATATTTTTACTTTCTTGCATCTTCCTTCTTACTTCCAATTTACCTCAATTTTATCTTTCCTTTTTTTTTAATTTGAATGAATAACACAGTGAGTCCATTTTCATTTTCTATATTTGGGATGCTCTCCACTTAAGCATAAATGACCCATTTAGGTTTTACCTATAATTTTTAGAATAAATTAGTGCTCAATGAAAATTACTTGATTTTTTGCAAAGGTAAGGGAGAAATATATTAAAACTTAGGAAAGCATATCCACAAATAACACATAACAA